AGGCTAAGCAGAGGTGTCTAGTTACAGCTGTGGCTAAGCATGGGTACCGGTCATAGTGTTTTTGAGATTAGACTTTAGATATCTGTTCAGGCAAATATTTTTTTCTAAAGCCTTATGCCAAGCATTAGCAGCTTGATGTATAAAGCCTGGATTTAACATCTTTACGTACCATTGTATCTGCCAGCAACATCATCTTGAATGTGGATAAAGATGCATTAAGCTCACCAGTGGGAATGATGCTTTTACTTAGGTGACAAGCTCACCATGAATCCTTAAAGGTAAAAGGTAGTTACATGGAAGTATGTTTAGGACTTTTGTACTGAATCAAGGAGATTCTAGAAGTGTCTGTTACCTTAATAAATCTATATTATATGGGACACAGAAAGATCTATATATACACAGTTGGTTGCACAGTCCCAAAGGGAGGAGCCGCTTGTGGCAAACCTGATTGGATCTGCAGGATGAACAGCGAGGGCTGTAGCACTGAGCCTGGTCTGATGGTGAAAAAATTACTAAAACTTGTCCTGGGGGAGTTAAAGCATTGACACAAAAAGAAAGGAGGAGTGAAAGAGAAAGGAAAGTATAAAGGCGATGCTCTCAACCTGGTTAAGGAAAAGATGCAGGTAACAATAACCACAACATGGTATATACACATTTGTTTGTGACTAGGAAAGTATCAGGCTTGTGTACGTTGGGAGTGGTTGTATTTGTAAGGGTAGGAATAGAAACTAGCGACAGGATGTTAATTTTTTCACTGAATGCTGAAGTTTAAGATATAGAAAAACCTAATGCTTTCTACAGTTGTAGAACTTGTCACGTGCCATATGAGGAAACCAATCTGAGTATTTTTTTTTTTAAGATGGAAAGACATTGTGTGGTTGTCACTTGCATTCAAAGGGAATTACTTAGATATTTATCCTGTAATGTCTTCAAAAGCTCATTGTAGTCAGTTGGTACATGTTGTGCCCTAAAATGAGCTAACACATGAACTGTGAAATGTGGTTAACTAAATAAACTTGGAAGAATTACCTTATCTTTAATCCCTTCAGTTAATGGTAATTGAGCAATGTATTTAATTACAACAGTGCTGAAGTGGTCGGTATTTATGATGTCTTCCTTGCAACAATTGGTCATATTCAAAATACTTGTGAACTTCAAGGGCAGCAAGGTGAGCTGTCAGTAGTAAAAGGTTATGGATGATTAAATATTGACTGCAACTTTTATTGAAGAGAAGGGTAGTAGATGTAGTCCTTTATCATCTGTCCTTTAGTGTAAATTCAGTAAGAGTTGTGCTGAGCAGAGAGCAATTAAATCCATTTAAGTCGATTTTTAAGTTGTCAGTAATATCCAAAGAAAAAAGTTTTAATAGCTGAGTAATCTCAAAACACAGCAAAACTTTTGATCAGACTTTGAGCACTGAGAATTCTAGTTTGGTAATTTATTAAACTTTTTTGCGGGGAGGGGGATCAGGATGACACCTCAAGGATATGCTGAGACTCAGTAATTTAGATTGAAGGAGGTCATATGGTTCAAATCCCAGTGGTCTTGGAGGGAGTATTCAAAATTTTATTGTAGATGAGCAGTCACAGTGGGCTAACTTCCCAATAAGCTACCATGTTTAATTTATTTCAACTTTTTGATTAACTGATTTCTAGAAGATCAGAATCCATGCACTAAGTCCCATGACTCTGCAGCACCAGCTGTGCGGTCCCCCTGTCCCATGGGTAGGGAAGAAGGATGAGGAACTTTGCTCTTTGTATTCCAGTATTGTCAACTTTTATCCTCGATACCCTGGGTCGGGGCAGTGTGTGGATTTTACATGGTGGTACCACTGTTTTTCTGATTTTTTTTGGGACACTACAGGCATGTATACCCTGGATCTGAGGAGAAATTGCCATGCTACACTGCACATGCACATAGAATAATATGATTTTAAATTGCCATGCTGCATTGCACGTGCACATACATTTGGTTTTTATCTTATTTTTGTGTTCCTGTAGCTTACGCGCTTTATGGTCAAGTATGTGACCTACAGATTTGCTTATTTTACCATCAGCATCTTTTTCATTTCCAGAACAACACTGAACTACATAGTCCTTTAAATCGACCTGCCCTCTAGCCTCTGTGGGTAATAAATATGATGAGACATTTCAGTAAACAAAAGAATAGACTGCAAGGAGGGGATAAAGTAGGTTAAACCATGTACTTACAAAACATGAAAGTTGTATGGGTTTTACTGACCCTACTCTTTTTTTTCCCATGTGTTAGTTCTTCCCTGGAAAGGTACTAGTTCCTCAGCTTCTATTCACTAGTTAAAAAACACCACAGATATTCTGTTAAAATTTTACTTCAAGAAACCAATTGGTATGCTGCAAATTGAAGTGTTTGCAGGTAGGTCAGCTTCTGTTCAGTAATATCCCACTCCCATGATGAAGGAATATATTAACAGGATACGGAATCGTCTAATGTGCATTTCAAAGGTATTAATTGTTTTTTTCCTGGAATTTCTAAATTAATTGGGATTATAATAAGCTTGTGTAAAACCCTGCACAGGAACCGTCAGAACACCTGATCTTGGTTGCTTGGTGGAAACAGAAAAACCAAGAGATGTGGATAGTTGAAGGTGGAGCTTTCGGTTCTTTTGATTGCTTCTGTGTATGAGCACGCATTAAAAAAATTGAGAAAGCAAATGAGTTGGTCCTAGTAACACACTGCATTTATATCATTTTGTTGGAGGATAAATTTTGTAAGCTTTTGATAACAGTTAAAGTATATTATATAATGTTTCTCTAAAAATAGCAAGATTTTTTTGTAGTCTGACTATTAATTAGTTCAGGTAAAAGCTGGGAAAACCAGGATCTGTAAGTAACCAGTACTTACTATAGAAGTTACTGATTTATAGAATATCCATCAATCAAGATATTTTAAGCCAGTTCCCTCTACCAGGAAAATCTTGGACTAGGAATATATATTCATGCATAGCTGAAGCTGGCAAGCAGTGTTTGTGGAGAAGCTAATGTTAACTGAAGTCAGTAGCATCTGAAGGTCAGGCTCACTGGTCTTGGACACATCAACCCTGACTTAAAAGTAACACCCAGATCTAGGTTTCCAGGTCTTGCTGAATTCAGTCCTAATGTATGCAACTGCCCCCTAAATAAAAGGTTATGTAATGTTGGTTGTACAAATGCCAGTTAATAACATCATTCTAAAAGTGTGTGTATACCCTTTCTAGAATAGCAGAAGAAATTACAGTTTTACAGAATAGGTATCTTTTTTTCTAGAGGAAACCTGTGAGATGTGACCTGAATATGTCTCAGGAAAAAAGTGCACTAAATTCTTCTGCAGTACACCTATGATTTCTTTTTCTTTTTCTTTTTTTTTTTTTTTTCCTGTTCAGAGTACCCTATTCATCTTTGAACGTGAGTGCAGAAATGCTAAAAATACCAAAAGTCATGTAGGCTTCTCTTCAGGCTTTCCCAGTCTTCATTTCAAAGGCGTATGTCCAAATTAACCTTTTGGAGTGATGCAGCAATACCTGTTACTTCTCCCCATGCACATCCTGGATCAGTTACGTGCTGAGCTGCATCATCCTTTGGCCGATTGGAATCGGAGTTCATTAAATAAGTCGTGACTGCAGGAGTCAGCATGTTGGCCTGTGGCTGTCCCTCTTAAAAGAAAGAGAGCAAGCAAGCAAAGCTCTTCAGTCCTAAAAATCCACAGGCATTCGGTCCTTTTTATGAGGTGTCAGTCTAGATAATTTAAAACAAAACTTCGCTTCTAGAAAATACAGAAAGCTTAAATTTATTTCAATGTTAGAAGAAAAAAGGAGAAGAGATGATGACTTCATATTTCTGCCTGTGGAAGTAATCTGATTCTTAGTTTGTGGATTCATTATGCTCAATATTTGAGGTGCACATTGCCTGACCTTCACAGTACTTTGCAGTTAGGCTATAGTGAAATGTATTGTGTCACGTGATAAACTTCAATATCTGCTGGACATAGAGGTCTTAAACAGCCTCCAAAATGGATTTGAACATGATAGTTGTGTTCAAAACTCTTTTTGTTTGTAAGATCACATGCACTTTGTGTGCCCTTAGGATGCTTCCTGTGCGTGAATGCACAAGTCCTCCAATTTTTTTATTTATTATGGGCTTCTCTTCTGGTTTGTGGTTTTACACACATTATAACTTTGCTTCTTTCTTTATCTAGTTCTTTAATGTTTCTGAATGCTTTTACTATTTTTAGCATTACAGGAGAAGATTATATTCTATTGGCCAAGAATTATGTGGTTGTAGTAAAAGAAAATGTTATTAAATATTTCTTGCTGTTTCTCTGTCATTTTAAACAGATGATTCACAATTATATGGAGCACTTGGAAAGAACCAAACTTCATCAGCTAACAGGGAGTGATTCGCTAGAATCCACAACACACAGTAGAATTAGGTAAGCTATTTATTATGCTCTCACCCTGAAATGAAAGAAAAAAAATCCATTCATTTGTGTTTGCAAGACTTTGTTCTTTAATCCTACAACAACGGTTCGGCTGAATCAGAAAGATTTGTTGTATGATTGGAATGCGGTAAGAGAATAGTGTAGAAATCGGTAGAAAGAGGCTTTTGCTGTTGCGCTGCTAAATGTTGAGATATACTTTGTACATTGGCCTTAAACAATTTCAGCTTTTTTGAGTGTTTGCTTTCGGGTAGGCAGGGAAAATGTCAGCACCTGTCCCAGAATAACTGGTGTCTTGCCCTGGCTTTGTGTACGGATGGATGAAGGTGTGTATGGTGGTACCCGCTGGTTGGAAGGGCTCGATGTGAATACCTTACGCAGGTTTTGAAGCTTTCTAGCCTATGAGCGGTAGGTGGAAGGAGGGGAGGACGGCTCCGGGGCTGGCTGTGTCTCTGCAGAGATGCTGCGAGGAGCCCGGCGGCGCGAGGGGGCGGGGAGCGGTGACGTCATCGCCGGGGAGCTGCGGCAGGGGGGGGGCGCGGGGAGCTGCGGCAGGAGCGGGGCAGCTGCCGCCGAGGGCATTGCTTTTGTGGCAGCGGCTGAATGACAGGCTTTGCCGACAGAGATACACCCTCGGCCCCCGTGTAGCCGCCTTGGGTCCGGCGTTTCACCATGCCAGCGCAGCGCCATGAATCCTGGATGCATGCTGCTGTTTGTGTTTGGCTTCGTTGGCGGGGCGGTGGTCATTAACTCGGCTATCTTGGTATCTCTCTCGGTTTTGCTGCTAGTGCACTTTTCTATTTCTACCGGTGTGCCAGCTCTGACGCAGAACCTACCAAGGATACTCAGGTACTCCGACCTACTGAACCTTGGCTTCATGTGCTCTTCCTTTTTTTTTCTTCGCTTTCTGTTTTCCTTTCAAACAGAAAGAGCAAGGATAAATTAGAGGTGTAAATTATGTGTAAATTTAAAATTCGTTTGTAAACATCAGATTTATGGACTGGGATATGGCAATGCATTTTTTTCATACACTGAAATTACATTGCCTTTTATTTACGCAAGTACAAGGTCAGTTTATGTATCTCCTTTTTTTTTTTTAGAAAGCTATTACATTGGTTTATTGTAACCCGCAAATAAAAGCTGTGGTGATAATGTCACGGATAAAGCTCACGTTCAGTGTATTGTCTGGTACTTGGCTGATCTTGGGTAGCTATAAATGTATGCAGTCTGAGGCCTTGTACTACTAAATTTCACTCTTTTTATCAAAAGAATTATGTAAGATCAGTTAATAGATGACACAGTAATTAGCTGATCACGTTATTTTTTTTTTTTAAATCTGATCATTGGTTAGCGGGGAAAAAAACCGTTCATTATTTAAGCATTAGAGCTTAAAGCCTATTTGCTATTGTTCAGCCAAATGTTACGCTCTCCTCTTTTTCTGTACTTGTATGGCAAGCTGCCAGCTCTGTCACCCCCCAAGTTACGTTCTGCTTGTCCTAGTTGCCTGGAGCAGTAGCAGAGATGCATATTGTGACCCAAAGTAATCTTGACATGTTTTAGTACTATAATTAGAAATGGAAAACAGCTGGAAAAGTTCTTAAATGTAGCTTTCTGACCTGAAAAATTGACATACTTTAACTGTGGTTGTAAGTTTAGTAGTAAACTTTATTTAAGAAGGGAGAAATGCTGGAAAACAGTGTTCTCTGAAAGCGCTATGTGACTTTTTCTCCTTAACACATGGTGCATGTATACTTTCTATGGTAGTATGCTTTTAACCTGGGTCTCTGGGCACAGAAGGGTTGTTCCGAAGGATTAAAACCAATCAATAAATAAAAGAAATACCAATTATTAATAACTGATAAATATATATGAATATTTAAATACAAAGAAATAAAATAAATTTTAATCGTAACTATCTATAGACTGATCTGGTTAGTAAGGCTGTGCGTGTTTAAAAGCAGGGGAAAAAATACCAAACCCAAAACAAGTAACACTCTGAAACAAACAAAGCAAAATATTGAACTTCACATTCAAGACCTTCTATTAGATTTTTTTTTTTCATGTTTAAGCAGTCAGATGGTTTAAGAAATAGTTTTGGGTTTGTTTTTGTTGTGTGTTTTTTTTTGTTTGGTTGTTTTATAATGTGCTGTTGCTCCCTTGGAGAATATTTAATGGATTTGAGGGCTTTTGGGAAGCTATGCTTTTTCCCCGCCCCTAGTAATTCATTTTAGGAATTACAAGAATTAGAACTCAGTTCCTTACTCTTCTATTCATTTAAAAAAAAGATAAAATAGGATGAAGGAATCTAATTGTAGAACAATTGTTTCTATTTTTTTAATACCAGTCGGATTTTTAGAACAGAGCATCTGGCTGGTTATCCTACGGGTTCCTGTAAATGCTTCAATACATCGCTTCAGAATATTAGTTTAGGCTTTTAAAACATGTGCCTGCCTTCTGCTCACTGTCGTATTTTCAGATGTTTTGTGGACATTGGGGGAGTAGAAGGGTTTTTTGCTTTCTGGTCAACCATCAGAGCAATAAGTTGAAATTGCTTCCGTCTTTTTGTGCAGACATGCATATAATAACCTTCATTTCCAAAATAAGCCCCTTTTCAAACTTCATTTACTGTGTAGTCTTGTAATGCACCTGAACTGTGTTTTAGGACATCAAAATCTATTCATTATAAAGTTTATTTAAAACTGCCACAAAAAAGCTAATGTTGGTTGTGAACTTTTTTGGTACTCATTTTCTTTAAATTCTTTCTTCTGAAGACTGCAAAGAAGATAAGCTTTGTGGCGTATCCTGCAAGTAAGCAAATCTGTCTGCTCTGAACCATTGCTCTGGGAGGCGTTTTCCAAGGCGAAGGGCCCTTCACAATGCCTGCTTTATCACCGGCTTGCTTTTCCACTGAAGGGCTAGACTTCTTAACCAATGAAATGGTTTCAGTCTGTCTTTTGACATAATCTAAGCTTATGTGGTGTGTCTTTTGTTCTCCACACACATTAGAGTTGTGGGAAATCTAAAGAAAAGCAGAACCTGTTACAATAGTGGGAATGGTTGGAATCAAATTCTGTTTAGTTCTGTGGCTATTTTTCATGAAGACTTTTCAGCACAGTTAGTTTGCAGATGCTGGAACAGTATCTGATGCTTTTTATTTTGTAACTCTGATTTTGCTTTACTTGCTTTGCTGCCTACTTTGCTCTTTTACGCTACTTCCGAATTAATGACCTCACTTGGAATAATATTTATGAAAGGCTGAGATATATGCGATGTGAGGATTAGTTGCGAAGATTTTTGTGACAAGGAGCATCTTTTTACACCTGCAGTGGAGGGGTTCATGCCAATTAAAATTGTTTGCTATTTGAACATTTGGGTTTTGGTGATATAAAATTTACCAAAAGGATTTTACTGCTTAATTGCCTAATGTATTGCTTAATTGACTACCTTTTCTTTTAAGTAAACAAAACGAAAAAAAACACCCCCCCCCCCCCCCAACCAAGACAAATTTTATAAAAATGTTTAGCTTTTCCTTTTGCTTTTCAGTGCTCCCTCTTACATATTTGCATATAACTCATATGCAGATACTAATTCTGCACAGAATTCTGCCTAGGTTATGTTTAATTTATGAAAAACCTTGCAAGAGAAAGTATATGTGATTGTGATTTGACTTTTTATAACGCTAAAATCTCTCCAATCTTCATATTTTGTCTGGGTTGTCTCTGCAGGAGTACTTACAGGCAATGCTTTTTCTCAAGAAGCATCATTTTCTGCGGTCACTTGTGCACACTTCTGTGCACACTTTTATCTTCTGTCTTCAGTATACTTAAAATGTGCTAGTTGATTACAGTCCTTTTTTTCTGTATTTCATTGTCCTGACTGAACAAATACTTTGCTTTATCTCATTTCTATGCCTGGCTGATATTTTTCCTTTTCAGGGCTGGCTGTAGCATCCTGTGAATTGAATTCTACACAATGTTTTTGTCTCTTGCTAGGGGGAAGAATTAATCTTTTTGTTCACTGATCACGCTACTGATGGCAAGATTGACTTCGGGATTTTTTTGGGGGGGAGGGTCAATATACGAAGCTTTGGAATTTCCAAATGTTGTTTGCTGTAGGGAAGTGATAAAGATAGCAGAGATGGTGAAGAGTTGCGATGAAGTAATTTGCCTTACTGGCACAAGCTTTTGTGCAGCTTTAAGGTGAAGTAGAGTGTTGAACTGATCATGCTTAAAACTACGCAATTTTTGACTGGGCTAGTTTTAACATCAGTAATTCCTTGACCCATTTTTTTTTTTCATTATACAAATCCCTATAATTCCTGTGATCTTCAGAAGAAAAATACCATATATTTTGAGAAGAGTTGGACTTCAAGATGACTGTTTACAGCTTTCACAAATACTGCCATTAATGATCTAGGTGTTGGCTGTTGTAGAAGTTACATGGTACTGTATCTTGCAAAAAAAAAAAGTGTAAAATGGTATTTTTAAGAGTGGCTACTGAAAACTGTAATTTAGTCTGAAATAAGGAAACATTTTCATCTTATGTTCCTGTTTGTGTTCCATTTCTGTAAACCTTTTGTTTACTATGGATTAGCTATAGTACAGTCAATAACTGCTATCTAAATCCATGGAATAGACTGTTTGCACTCAAATAATGTAAAATGAGGAATTATTAGGTGCTGTAATACAAACTGTGTATGCTACGTTCTATATTTAACAGAGCATAGTGTATGAATCTTTGAACCTATAATTTTACCACTTCCCTGCTGATTTCAGAGGTGTACAGGAAAATAAATTGTGTGACATCTGAAATGGCTGATGAAACCTGTCTCCCTTTCAAACAGAAAGGAGCGTCCAATATCACTGGGCATCTTCCCATTAGCCTCAGGAGATGCACTACTTACACCTGAAACTCAGAGAGAAGCGGGGGAAACGCCTGGGTCAGAGCACTGGAAATTCCACGAGCTGAGCCAGCCACGGTCCCACACAAGCCTAAAGGTGAGCATTCTGCTTGGCCTTGTGTTAGGAGAACGCCTATACACAGGTGGTAGATCCTTGGTGGAGAAAAAAAGCAAATTGAAGGGGAGGAGGGAAAACCCTAAATCATCTTTGTGTAAAGCCAGGTATGTTGCCTACTCAAATGATCTTTGAGGGAACTTACTGGGAGAAGTGGAGTTTGGGTTGCATTTTTCCAAATGACTGGTAATACAGGCTAGTTCTCCTCTTACTCATAGGAGCAGGTTTTTTCTTTCTGACTAGGGACCCTTTCCAAAGGTCAGTCACTTTACACAGTAGGTATATAACTAGATAGTGTAAACAGGTCTGCTGATTTAATATTGTTTTAGAAGGAAAGCTTTGATTACTACACAGGCAGTACTCTTAACACAGCCTCTGTCTACTATCAGGCATGTAGCGTAGGTATACTGCAGAGTTGAGAATGACCTAACTTTCCTAAATTAGCCTGTGATTATGATTTCCCTTACATGTAGCTTGGCTATAATTCCTGCAATTGTTCTGTGTTCCAACACTGAGGGTGGCATAGAACAAGCTGCAGAAATGGAAAAATGGGGGAGTAGTGTTGGAGTGTGGTGAATCTGGCAGTTGGGACTAGGGTGTACTAACAACATAGCGGGAGGAGGGTTCTGCAGGGTGAAGAACTCCAGAATGTGTAAAACCTCAAACCTCCCTATATATTTATGTTGAGGTTTTTTTAGAAGACTGTGGATGTACTGTTATTTCTGAAAAGGCATACAGCTGAGGAGAATTTCCTCTTAAATGAACTTACTACCTAGCAGGAGAATATTAAACTGGTAAGAACTAAAAAGCTATCCAGAAATAATTAGAACCCAGACCAGTTTTTTTGCCTAAAGGTCATATGGAGATAATGCGAAGTGTAAGTAATGGTTAATTATAAACATATCAAAGTGACAACAGGAGTTTGGATCTAAAAATTTGTCACTTAACAAACTCTTGGCTAGGACCATTTTTGGATCTTAAATTTCTCCTATTCCCTTTTGCCTGTGCCTGTCAACATCAGTAAATTGAAGACTTTAGGAGAGCTGACTGAAATACAAGTTAAAGTTAGGACTAAGAGTAGGTGGAGATGAGGTATAAAGGGAAGTCTCTGATCCCATCCCATCCCGTCCCATCAGAAAATTATATTGGTTACTATATATTGTCAAAATAAGCTTCTTGGTATAGTTCTTCTAAAATAATGCACTGCTAAAGGAGAATTAACAAAACAGCCCAGACTGTAGTTTTTCAAATGTAGTTAATTAGAGTAAGTTCCTTGGGTCCAAAGCAGCATCTTTGCCTTTTAGCTGTGAATGTAAAGTGATTCTGAAGTGAACCTCTTGAATAACATGATATATTGAAGTCATAACCAGAACTTGAAACTTTTTTCTCTAATACTTTTATTTCTTCTAAATACACTTAACATCAAGTACAAGGCACAAGCAAGATTCTGCTGCTTTCAGGCATCTGTTTTCCATTCGTGCATGAACATTTCATTAATGGTCAGTGTTTCCTCTAAAAGTATCACAAAGAGTAAGTGTCAAGGAGAAACTCAGACAAAAAAGACTGGGTATTCTGTAGCTTGTACAGTAGTGACGTTGCTGGATATCATTGTAAGACAACATATAATTATGTACCATTCATTCTCTTCCGCTTATTTATGCGAAGTATTGCAGATGAGCTACTACTTCTTCAGATTTAATTGTCTAATTTTTAAGCTAATGTCTTTTTTCAGGAAAAGTCTTCTGGAAACATTGCCAAGTAAGACGAATTTGCCAAGTCAACACAGCACTGACTTTCAAATGCTTAGGCTTTGAGATATTTTGATTAATTCATTGTCACTTAATGGAATTGCATTTCATTTTCGTTAGTTCTAGAACAAACATTCATGATGGTTTAATCAGTATAGTTTCCAAGAGTTAGCTCAAAAAGAATACAGTAGATAATAAAGTCAGAAATGTAAAATAGATGGCATTATTTGAAATCCTTTTAAGGAAAGGACCATTCTTTTCACTGTTTTCTCCTGCCCTATCAAGCTGTTTTTCTTGAGCTTTGTGTGTGAAAGTCAGTGATCGGTCTGTGCTGCATCAGTTAGTGGATGCTTTTGGAATACAAAGATGTGGAAATGTTTGAACAGAGCCAGTAGCTCTGAGGTTTTATTCCTTGTTTGTGTGAACTCTGGATTCCCTTGGTAAGGGGTACCATTTCCTCCCTTCTCTATCTGCTTGCACAAGTATGAATCGTTATCCAGGAGCTGAACTTCACCAGTTCAAAAGGCAATTGAGTAAATTGTGTAGCTTTTCTATCTTTTTTTTTTTATGGACACAAGGTATCTAATAACACTTTCATATGTTGATTTTGTTGCCTTGTATAACTATGGGTAAGTGTACATGTTTTATTCCTTTAGAGATGTCTGTTAGTTGACTGTATTTCTGAATAACTTGTTAGAATATCAAATATTAATAATTAGTTGGTTTGGAATTTATTAAAAAGGAAGAAAACTAAGTAATTGATAGGCAGGTCTTGAAAGTGCTGACTTTTGTTTCTAGGGCTTGCAAATTCCATATGGGGATATCGGTATAGGATGCAAGCTTTACATTTATGCTGATATACATGTGTGTTTTCTTCCCTGCCCCCACAAACTAAAATCTTATCTTTCCAGGAAGTTCCAAAAGTAAAAATTTAGAAATTATAATTCCTAGTAATCTTACACTAAGTACAAGTGAGAAGATGTGTGTCTGCATGCAGGTGTCTGTTTTTTTTAAAATAACCTTGAAGTTCAGTTTCACTTCCTTATCAAAAAGGGATGCTAGTAGTACAGTGAATTCGTGCTTCAAACTTGCTTCGTTCTTGAGAAATTGAAGTTTCCTGAGCTGACAGAGCTGTTCTCTTTAAGTGTCACAGACTTGTCCAGGAGCCTTGCTTTCAGCTCTGATTCCCAAACAGAGAACTTTATATCAAAACTTAGCATCCTGCCTTCACTTTGCACATACCAGCCTCAATGTTTCATCTTGATTTTTCCCAAGGAGATTCCTCTAATGCTATATGCTAGAAAATACTGGCCTAAACAGACCATTTTGTCATATCTCTAGTGAGCTCTTGTTCACTGTTATATGCTGTTTAAGTCATAGTTAAGATATCTGGATGTTGGTATGGCTCTGGTCATGAGTGAGGGGTAAAATGTGAATGAAAGGAGACAAGGTCCAGAAAAGGACTATTAGTAAGTATTACCAGGTAGTAGCCTCTAGCCATGGCAAACAGAGTCTAGCCGGCCCTCGAACACAGTGCCTGATGCAGCCCTGTCTGAGTAATGATCATAATCTGGAGTCCAGCAGCTGGATTAATAACCATACTTGTGGGTCTTGATATAATGTCACTGTAATGTAAACTGTTGCCAGGAATCAGCTTCTAAGAAGGAGCTATTTACTGATTTTTTTTTTTTTCCATAGTTGATCTGAAATTTAAGTGGACAAGCAATCACTGCAGTTCAATGTCTCATTCCCAGTGTCATCCAGGGCTTGCAGTTCAGACTGGAAAGCACATAAAAACAGTTTGAGCGAAGTGCTCGCAAATATTATGCTTTGGTATCTATTAAATCCATGTTCTGCATCAGTGCTTCAACGTCTCCTTTGTAAGAAGATGTTTTAAGATATCATGCATATTTTGAACAATTAATTTTAGAACAGCTTTGGGAAGATTCAGCGGTTCATTGTGCAGCTAGAAGGATTATTAATATGGGAATGCTGCCTGTTGCCTGGAAGACTTAACAGAAAAGCACCCTAAAGTTGTGACTATAATGATCAAGTGAGATCAAATATTAGTATTAAAAATAAGGGCATGTTTTATGTAGCTATAACCTCCTTAACAGAAATGAAACAGCCGTAGTCTAAAGATTAATTTGGCAGTACTGACTTAAAGTATTCTTTCCATTCCTGTTTCTTTGCATTTGCATGTTCTTCAGTAAAATACAGTCATTTTGGTGTTTGTTCTTTAGTTTATATGCCTAACTCTTCTAGTAATACTTTGATTTGTGTTCATTTTTTAATGATAATTGCTCAATTTTAGGATGAGCTCTCTGATGTTAGCCAAGCAGGCTCAAAATCTACTACTCCAGCATCCACAGCTGCTTCAGATGTACCTGTACTGCCTGCTGAAACTCCTCAAAAGGAAGATGTTGAAGGGCTTGCAAAGGACACAGATATGCCAAATGAGAAACTGGACGTAAGCAAGAATATTGAAGTACAGGTGGCTCAAGAGACAAGAAACGTGTCCACTGGTGAGCTGCTTTAACTTTTTAGTGTACGGTTACTATAGACCTCATATTTAATCTGTTACGAAATATCTCAATTGTTATGCCACAAATGAGAAATCTTTTTTTTACTCAATATTGTTAGGAGTACAGAATATTGGCAAGACATACGAGTCTGTTGTTTATTGGTAGCTTTAGTCCTTATTTTTCTAGAATCAGAATTATTTTTGACGTTTCCTTGTAAACAGCAGAAGTGGCACTCATCTAGACGCAAAAAGTCATGAGAAGATAGACGTCTGCTTGGTTTCGATTGCAGAAATAGTGGGAAATAACTACCGTTGGATGACTTAAGTTAAATTCAGGAGAGACTTAGAAATTCCAGTGTCCGCACTAGAGAATCAAAATCCATAGGTCTTCTCATTTAATTACCTTGATAAGTCTTTGAATAGAAGTCTACTAAGTTAGTGATGGATTAATAGCAACTATGTGTAGGG